CAATGTTATAAACAAGATAGCCAAGTGTGAAGGAGATTACTGAGTAAAATTTGAAATACTTTGACTTTCAAAAGTCACCTTAACTTATTAACATTTATATCAATTATACTGAAAGAAGTAAAATTCATAATACTACCTCAATTACAAAAGTCATTGTTTGTCCAACTGTAGCAGGCTCACTCCAGTGCCATCGTATTCTTGTCCTCGTTGCATAGAGATAATTCCCAATGGCATAGTTCAACAAATTTGTCTTACGGCGCTGACATTCATTTAGAGTTTTCCGTACAATTGAAGATACTTTGAATATCAGATATAGTGAAAACAAGAGAAATCCCATTGCCTTCACTGAAACAACAACACCAAGTTAAATATGTGTCAGTATACTTTGGTAAGATTATCCCAAACTATTCAGACAAATAAAATAGTGAAAAAAATTCTCAAACTATTGCAATAGTATTGCAATAGGAGACTAACTATTCCGATAGTATTGTATGAGTACACAATCAATACTTCATCGCAATTATTCAATATTTCGATGCATCCTTACACCACTATTACACAGTCCCTACTAATACAGACATTTCAATATTTGCCTACTCCAAAGGATTCACAGCATTTAAGCACAGTCCATCATAATGGCAGTTGACTGTATGTCATACTTTCTTACCTACAATTCTAAGAATCCACACAATAAGCCAGAAAACCCGCAAGAAAATATAAATAGGATAATGCAACAGTCTAAACCAGAAACCTCCAGGTCTACTTGTCTCTTCTGTTCTTAACTTTTTGAGAGCATATTCAAACCTTGAAAGGTGATTTCTTGTGAATTCATATCTAGTGATTTTCTCAATTGTCTCCTGGGTCAAATTTTCTTTGATATCATCCATGTCACTGTATCCTAAATCCACCAGCACATCGAGATATTGTTCAAGGCCATTGTGCTCTAACCAGTAAAATATTTTCAAGTGATTCTGTAACTTGAGAATGTGAATTTCAAGTCTATGGTAAGAATTTGAGTATTTCTTTCCATGTAGATTTGGGAAGTACTTGTGAAGGAACTTTGATATATCAAGCTTTGAAAAGTTTTCTTTGTTTTTGACACCTTCAATAGAAAAATAAAATTATTGATGATACATCTTATGAAAGACTTATGAAATAAGATAAGATACATAATTTCTACAGTAAATATTTACGGAATAGTGTTAAAACTCTGTATTTTTTTTATTTACATACACTTTATCATTTGCATATTACAAACATTTCATGAAATTAAACAATAACGTACAGTTGCTTCACAAATTGATGGCATTGACCTTATTTCATTGTCAGAATTTTTTATACATTAAGTTCCAAGTTCATCCAGTTCAACATCAATATATTTATTTATTCATCCATTCATTTCTTCATTTTAATACAATCACGTCTTCCATGCTAATAATCACTTTGATTCTAAAATATTTGTCCAGTTTTGTTACATGGAAACTCTTAATTAAAACGTTTACAAATCAGTTATAAACGATTTATAAGGTGTATCTTGAAGACGTCCAGGTTTGTGGGCAGTAACATCCAAAAAGCACGTAAGCTTAAATGGAACTGCCTACGCAAGGAAGAGCTCAGGGCTGCATACTTTACTAGTAACTAAGCTTAATATTTGTACAAAAGCACGCAAAACTACGAAGAATCAACTTACCTGCTTTATTAAGATTATTTATATATTCGTCTAACCCTTGTTCCTTTAACCAGCGATGTAGGGAATGTTTTTGCTCTTGCTCGGCAATAAAGACTTGCCTTTGATACCACAACAGAGAGCCGGCAACAAGGACGAGTAAAAGAAGTGTCCTGTTGTCGTTCACAACTCTCCCAACTGCATCCATTACTAAAGTTGAAAATCTTTACCAAAAGTTACATTTGGCTACATTATTAAACGTCACAGGTATTAAATGAAAGCTAATGAAATAATTACAAATGTTTTTGCAAGGGAATTTTCCCCTGCTTCATGACTCACTCCTCCAAAACATCTCGTACCCCAAGCCTTCGTTCCCAAGGCCTTACAAAAAAGGAAGAAGAGAAGCCCTGGGAACAAGCATAAAAACACAGGAAGCCCATCAAAATCGTTACACGTCAATCACACGATTTATAACTAAAGTTGTTTTATTGTTTTTAAGTACTTTATATATGGCAAGCCTGATATATAGCTTGAGATATAATAGCTTCAGTGCCACAGTCATAGCGCAGTCTCGGCTTTATTAGTCTTATTAAACGTCCGAAGATGTTCGCTCGACATAATTCGTCTAAAATTTTCACACACATTTGTAATACCACTTATAACAAGGTTCAGAAATATTTTAGAGAAAATAGGGCTGGTTTGCGAAATATTCAAGTTTAAGTGTTTTCCAGGATTTCCCCATAACTTGAATAAATTATACTCGATTTTCATGAAATTTATATATAACATATGTTGCACCCAAGTAAAAAAAATTCCGG